GTTGACAATAATTTAATATACCTCATACAGTTAACATCCTTTACTCAACAAATTTAAACTAATATCGTTTGCTTAATATAATTTTCTGTACATACATTTCAAATTGCCAGAAATTTGCGCTGTAAGAATAATCTTAAATTATTATTTACAAAATAACAACAATAATGATAATATAACCTGACTTTTAGGATAATGCTTGAATTATTACTTTATCAAAACATTACTAAGTTGTCGTAAAGTATTATCTAAATGATTGGATAGCATTAAGTATTTCAGAATACTTGTTTATAAATAAATAAAACCAATAAGTTTATATACATATTTATTTTTACATTATTTTCTCCCAACACTTAGTGAGATTTTTCTCTCTATATTCCCTTCATTCCTATCTTATTTCATTTATTAAAAAAATAATAAAGAAATTATTATTATATAATTTTCGACACACCATTTCACTATTTAACCATTTGACAATATGATATTCAAAAATATAAAATTTTGATTTTTAAAAAATTATAAGTGTGACTATTGATAACGAACTGTTCGCATATTTTTGTTTAATTCCGACTATTGTGACTTTTAGTTTGTAGTAAAAGTAATTACACGAACACAAATCTCCTCAGTATTATTATTTAATAATTTATGGAATTCAATGAATTGTTAAAATACATATACTATACAGAAAATTAAAACTTAAATTATTGAGTAAACAAAGAAACGGGAAAATAATAGGATTATGTTTTTTAGCTCTGCGTTATGGCGCATGGGCAACTTTATTGGTGAATTTCTAAATATAACTAAAATGCAATGGTTAGGGTAAAAATTTGTCACCCTGTGTCACACCTATTTAATATCAATTTTTATTATAAATCCTGGGGTAAAGAGATATTTTAGCACGTGAGACCATATTTGTCACCTACTACATGTTACCAATAAACTCCATACGCCAAAACGCAAACCCTAAATAATATAATCTAAATTAATTGACTGTCTTATTCGCCTCACTCTTATCTTCTGAATTTTGACAACTATTTAGAATTTATTTCTCTGTACAATAAAAGAATTCTTCTTTTTTATTACAACTTATTTTTATTGAATGTGAAATAACACTATTTAATAATATTACCTTATAAGAACAATTTACTAATTACTGGGATAGGTTGAGTACAAAAATAAATTTATTTTATTGTTAAATTTAGACCATGATGTTTGCCAATAAATTGTACAAGAAATTTCACAACGGAGGCTTATAACGAAAAAAGCTTTTAATATTATCAATAATTCCTTCAATTAAAAATTTACTTGATAAAAGATATTTTCCTCTTTAGTACCATTTAAGTACTCTTTTTTCGTCCTTAGTTTTTCTATTATATCCCCTTCGGCTGATTTCAAGCACCATTTAAATGCTTTCTTTTCATATTTAATGGTTCCAAGACTGCTCTGTCCATCAATGCCTCCCTTCAAACGATGAAAAGTACTATTCTTTGAAAATTCCATATTTAAGTGCTTAAAAAAAAATCTTGTTCTGATAATAATGAATTTTCTGCATTTTTACGTCTATTCAAAATTCATTCTTTATGTCTAGAATTATAAGACCTATTTATTTTTTTTCAACCAAAATTACTTCAAAAAAATGCCAAATGAAAACATAAATAATATTTTCACTAATTTAAAGAGAACATTAATCTTTCCTCCATTATTATCAATTGAAGAAGTTATCCTTCTTTTCAATTACAAAAGGCCTTTTACAAGTCACAAAAACTGTTACAAACATATGCTCCGGCAGAATTTGATCACTAGAAAATTATGTGGAAAAATTCTCGAGTCTGAATATACATATTTAGCACAAAGAGTAAAGCCCTTTAATATTTTTAATATTAAAATTAATGAACTCTCTTCTTTTATTTGGTGCTAATTCGAAACTTTTTATTAAACTTATTAAAACTAAAACATAAAATATGAAAGACGTAGCATTTTTCACACAAATTTTTATTGTTTCGAATCTTTTGACGTTATTCTTAATTTCGTGAATCATTCTTTTGCTTCTTTATATTTGTACCAGAGGATATTTAATGGAAGCGCATTTTTGATATAGCAATAAGCAACGTAATTTGGAAATCCGATTTTTTGATAACTATCACATGTCATAATATTATTTACAGTAAATTGCATTATGCTCCGGACTTACCATTTCCTAATATAGAACATTCTTATTTGTATAGAGAGAGAGAATTGATTATTAAATTATGTATTACGATTAGGATGATTTTTTTTGCAATTTTCACAAACAAACAAACCAAACAACAACACAAGCTTATTTGTTATATGTATAAAATATTATCTGGATTTATTTTATTTCAATATCCGTATTTATTCATTCGAGAAAGATTTGAAATTAAATGTTCGGATTGTCTTTTAATTAATAATTAAAAAAAATAAAAATAAAATAAAAATACAATTGTTTTGAAATTTGTACTTTCAATATTATTGATAAATACATCATCACATTAATTAATAAATAGTTCGAAAACTCGCTACTGTTCTACTGTTTTGATGGTTGGTAATAAACACATTTATTCAATTAATATTTTTAGGGTAAATCTATTTGTCACTGGTGGTGATTGACACCATTAGGCAAAATTACATAATTCCCTGATCCTAACTTTGTCAAATTTGCTCAACGGTGCCTATCAAAAGTAATACTTTTTTTATAATTATTAATTTGCAATTTTGACGATCACTAATTATTTGAAGCCGGCAATTGATAATGGAACGTTGTCATTCAACGGTCTATAAAATCAATACTTATTTTATTTTTATACTAACTAACTGATGCAAGATTTTAAGATTCTTACTTTTGTAAAACCAGCATATTCTCCTTAAACAGGCTAAGTCCATTCAAACCATTTGATATACATATCTGGCATATTTCGTTTTCCTTGTTTATTATTTTGAATAAATTATTGCTATTATTAATTAATTACTAACTTCTTTTTATAATTATTATTCGTTACGATTTGGTTCTATGTGGGCAATTGCCAGCAATATCCTTGATAGCTAAAGTGATATAATTACCTTCTATAAGTTTTATATTTTTTATTACAATAATTGATAAATAATATATACATAACATATGAAAAATGGAAATTTGAGATAAATGAATAATAAATAAAAAGTTACATACATGGTATAAAATAAATAAATAAATAAATAACAATAAGGAAACTGTTATGATATACAAATAAAGACTACAATAAATAATAAATACAATGAACAATTGACAATATAATCAGTTATCGGTTCGAAAATCTGTAAGTCACGAGCCGTGAATTTATCAGTATGCATTTAATTTAAAAGAAATGATTGGTACCTTTAAAAAAATAATACTCCTTATTTTTTTTTATTAACATTTAATATAAATTCATTATTATTATTGTCATTATTATCATCTGTTATATTAGACTCGATTTTTTATTATTGTTTTCGTTATATTTCTTTTTTTTTTTTTTTTATTTTACGAAAACTTATTATTATTCATATTCCTTATACTATACAAAATATAAATATATAAACTATAATAGAATAAAAAAATTCTTTTCTTTAAAAATCAGACAAGTAGATCCAAAAATTAATCTTTTTATTTGAATGTAAATAATTATTGTTATTATAAATATTATTATCAGTACATCATATTTTTTTAGAATATTTTATAATATTTTATAATAATAATAATTTATAATTTATGATATTTTATAATATTTATAATAATAATTTATAAATATTTTATAATATTTTATACTATTTTATATAATATTTTATAATAATTTATATTTTATAATATTTTATACTATTTTATAATATTTTATACCATTTTATAATATTTTATAATAATAATTTATAATATTTTATACTATTTTATAATAATAATTTATAATATTTTATAATATATAATTGGTAACCCGCCTAAGAAACAGAAAAATTTTTTACTTAACAATCTAAAAAATAAATAATTTGTGTACGTAAATTAAGGGTTGATAAAGCTGTTAAGGAAATGTGAAAGACATTATGTGGTTTTTTAAACACATGTTTGAAAGTAAATTTCTAGAAATTTTTGAAGTTTCTAGCCAGACAAAAATGTTGGATAAAAATTTTGCTATTTGAAAATGTTTAGGGATAAATCGTGAAATTCAAGCTTTGTACGTAAAAATTATACTACAACATATCATTTCATCATTTAACTATTTATCGATATAAATTTTCAAAAGAATAAATTTTTATTTTTTTTTTAAAAAAAAAAATGCAAGAATTACGCGTGTGACCATTGATAACTGATCTTTTTTTTTTTTAAAGAATTCCAACCCTTTTTACACATGCATAAACATTACGATATTGTGGATAAGAAGGAATGAGAAGGAATAAGAAGGTCGATTAATTTACGACAATTATATTAATTTAATAATGTGATCGTTTGTTTGTTTCTGATAATTTAACTTTAATTTTATATATAGTCGATACATTTTAACGATTCATTAGATTTGTGTTCGTGTGTAATTACTTTTGCTACAAACTAAAAGCCTTATTTTTCGCCTCCATTCGAAGTTTACTTGATAAAGTATGTCTCTCTCTTCAGTCGACTTCAAGTACCATTTAAATGCTTTCTTTTCGTGTTTAGTGGTTCCAAAACTGCACTGTCCATCATTATACCCTTTTCAGTATAACCCCCTTTTCAGCTAATTTCAATTATCATCTGAATGCTTTCTTTTTATCTTTAGTGGTTCCTGTCCATCACTATTTCCCCTTCAGCTGATTTCAAGTACCACCAAATTCTTTCTTTCTTTCCAAATTATTACTGACCGCAGTTTAAAAATTATATATTTAAATGCTTGAAAAAAATCTTTTTCCGATAATAAAGAAATTTCCTGCATTCTGTATCTATTCTTTATTCTTTATTCGATATTTAAAATTATAAGACCTATTATTTTTTTCAAAAAAAAGATCAAATGAGCAACTTCAATGATATCCTCGCTAATGTAAACAGAACTTTTATCTTTCCCCCATTGTTATCATTTGAAGAAGTTGTCTTTCTTTTCAATTCCAAAAAGCTTTTTCGAAGTCACAAAAATTGTCACGGATATATGTTGTGCAGAATTTTGGTCGCTAGAGAATGTCGAAGGTTAGGAGAAAATAATAAAACGATAATCGCTGGTGTAGCAAATTATTTATGGAAAACTTCAACGAGTCAAGAAAAATCCGAATATACCGATTTGGCACAAAGAGTAAAAACCCTTTAATATATTTTAATATAAAAATTAACGTACTTTCCTCTTTTATTTGAGACTATTTCGAAACTTCTTATAAAACTTATTAAAACTAAAAAAAAAAAAATTTCTTCATCCAAAATACATAAAATACAATGACGTGGCATTTTTTTTTTTAAATATGTTATTTTTAAATTTCGTGAGTCATTTTCTTTGCTTATTATCACACACACATACAGTAATATAAAACATTCGGAATAGATGTTTCAATTTATGGTTAATAGTTATTAAATTTATGTATTACGCATTATGTATTACGATTATATGATTATTTTTCTTTTACACAAACTAATGAACAACACAACATCAACACAACGCTTTTGTTATATATACTAAATAAAAATGTTATTCAGATTTAATCTTATTTCAATATTGTATTTTTCATTCGAAATAAAATTAAAATTAAATGTTCGGTTGACTTTTAATTAATTAATTTTTATGTGAAATAAATAATAAATAAAAATACAAATACAAATACATTTTAACAATAAAATTATCTTGTTCCATATTTTAAATATTATTGATAAAATGTGGCAATCACATTTGCTATGCATTAGTAATTATTCAATTACTAATTTATTTTGGATTTCTGTTGATCACTAACAAGAAAAATTTACTTTTTAACAGTTATAATAAAACCTTTTGACTTTTTTTTTACGTACTGAAATAACTATACTGGATTATGAAATTCTTTGAGGTTTCCAGCCTTGTATGGTGGTCTTTTGTGATTTTAACGTCAGTAAATTCCACGTCTTGAGCTGTCATTCGGTTAAGTGGGATGGATATTTTCCATGGAGATTTTGGTTTAGTTAGTTCGTAATGACTGATTAATTCACCTTCACATAATTTTGAATTTGAATAGGAGAAAAAAAATATCCAATTTCCAATATTCGGTGTGGCTCTTTTTTTTTTTTTTTATAACCAGGCCAGGATATTCACCTTCAACAGGTCAAACCGATTTGATATACATACATAGATTTTGTCATAAGTTTATGACTATTTGGTTCTATGTGATCAATTGAAATTGCCAGAAATATCCTTGATAGCTAAAGTGATATCAACCTTCTCGAATTTCCCGTCAATTTGAATATTTTTAATTGAATTAATTTATTATTAATTTTTAAATACAAAATAATATATGATAAATTATAAAATGTCTAAATGTAACAACGAAGTATATGTAATAGACTCGAGATAAAAGAGTAATAAATAAAAAATTAATATTATTTAATATCACGAACTTGTGCTGTAAAAGAAAAAAAAATGAATAATAATAGGAAACTAGTATGCTACAATAAACAATAAACAATAGAATCAGTTGATTGGTTCAAAATCTTTAAGTCACGAGCCCGGATTCAATTTAATTTAAAAGACATGAAATGATTGGTACCTTTAAGAAAATAATGCTCCTATTTTTTTTTTACCAATATAAATTATTACAATAATTCATTATCATCATCATCTGTTATTATTAGACTCTAAATTATTGTTTTCGTTGCAGTCTCATAATCACAATTAATCACGATGATATACTGTATTTCTTATTATTATTATAATAGAGTAAAAATTTTTTTTCTTTAAAATCAGATAAGTAAATTATTGAAGCGCCAAAAATTGAATATTTTTTTTTTTTACAGTTCAGTTTGAAATTTAAATATAAAATAATTCTTATAATATTTTATAATATTTTATGCTATTTATAACGTATACTATTTTATAATATTTAATTGTTAACGCCTAAGAAATAAAAAAAAAAAACTTTTTTACATAACGATTAGAAAATAAATAATTTGTGTATATATCCAGAATACATAATTCAAAGGTTTTAATTTTTCAAATTTTGTTTTATTAGAGTCATTTAATTTTTTTTTTAAAAAAAAAACGGAAAAGACAAAATTATATATTTTTGCAAGTTTAAAACCATTAAGTGGTTTTTTAAATATATGTTTGAAGCTTCTAGAAAACAAAAAATGGTGGTGATTTTTGCTAAAATTTTGTCAATTAGTGATGTTTAGGGATAAACTATAAAATTTTAAGCTTTGTAAAATTATAATGCGACATAACATTTTGTTATTTATCAATATAAATATTCAAAAGGTTTTAATTATTATTTTTTTTAAAAAAAAATGCAAGAATAACGCATGTGACCATTGATAACTGAAAATTTTTCAAATAATTCCAACCCTTTTTACACATTCATAAACATTTACGATATTGTAGAATAAGAAGGAATAAGAAGGTCGATTAATTTACGATAATTAATTTAGTTTACATTAATTTATAATAATAATAATAGTAATTATTTATTACTTTTTTCTTTCAAATATGATCGTTTATTTGTTTACGTAATTAAAACCGATGATTTAACTTTTAATTTTATATATAATCTATGCATTTTAACAATTCATTGAATTATTAAATAATAATACTGAGGAGATTTGTGTTCGTGTGTAATTACTTTTACTGCAAACTAAAAGCCATATTTTTCGCCTCAATTCGAATTTGTAAGTTCATCAAAATTCGTTTTTTGTTAAAAGTTTACTTAATAAAGCATGCTCTGACTTCAGATATTTAAATGTTTTCTTTTTATTTCTCTTTTCATCTTTAGTGGTTCCAAGACTGCACTGTTCATCGTTATACCCCCTTTAACTGATTTCAATTAATATTTAAATGATTTCTTTATCTTTCAGTGGTTCTAAGACTGCACCGTCCATCATTATACTACCCTCCAGTTGATTTAAAGTACTACCGAAATTCTTTCTTGATCCTATCGATTAAACTGACCGCAGTTGAAAAATTACATATTTAATTGCCTGAATTTTTTTTTTTCGCTAATAAAGAATTTCTGCATTTTTTTTTTTTTGCATCATTCGAATTCTTTCTTTATACTTTATTCTTTATTCTTTAACTATCTAAAATAATAAGACTTTAATTTTTTCAAACAAAATTACTTTCATAAATGAACAACTTAAATGAAATCCTCGCTAATATAAACAGAACATTAATATTTCCCCCATTATTATCAATTGAAGAAGTTATCCATCATTTCAATTCCAAAAGGCCTTCTCGAAATCACAAAAACTGTCACGGATATATGTTGTGCAGAATTTCTGTCGCTAGAGAATGTCAAAGGCTAGGAGAAAATAATTCAATGAAAATCGCTGGTGTAACGAATTACTTATGGAAAAATTCTACGAGTCAAGAAAAATCGGAATATAAAGATTTAGCCCAAAGAGTGAAAACCCTTTAATATTTTTTATTTTTTTAATATTAAGGTTAATGAACTTTCTTCTATTTGAGACAATTTTTCGAAACTTTTTATTAAACTTATTAAAACTAAAAAAAAAAAAAAAAAAATTCTTCATTCAAAAAACATAAATATGAAAGGCATGGCATTTTTTATAAAATTTTTTATCATAATCCCCAAAATCAATATGTAAATATGTTATTCTTAAATTTCTTGAATCATTCTTTGCTTTCTTTATCCGTATTATTACACTTATAATATATAGAATATTCGGAATAGAAATGGTGCGATATACATACAATTTATGGTTAATAATTTATGCATTATGCATTATGCATTACGATATGATCATTTTTCCCTTTCGTAATTCAAGCACAAACTAACAAACAAACCTAACAACAACACAACGCTTTTGTTATATGTATAAAAATATTATTCAGATTTATTTTTATTTCAATATCGTATTTTATTCATTCGAGAAAGTGTCGGTCGAGTTGCCTTTTAATTAAATTAAATAATTTAATTTTTATGTGAAATAAAATTTTTTTGCAATTGGTATTTTCTAGAAATTACTATTTAAATAATGCAGTTATCTCGTTCCCGCTTTTTTTTTAAAGATTAAGACTTCTACTGTTCTAATGGTTAGGAGAAAAAAAAAACTTTATTCAATTATGCAAACAGTATGGTCATTATGGATCAACAACAACAACAAACAAAAAAAGTCATTATTCTTTATTTTGTCAAACGCATGTGCGAAAAAAGGGGAAATTATTATTTTGCATGTATGTACATTTAATGAACGAACAAATTTAGATGACATAAACCTTTTTCCGTGAAAGGAACCTAAAAAAAAAAAATGGAGAATGAGAGAAAATATTTCTCGTGCATTAAATATCTAATATAATTGGTTTGAAATCTTTGAGTCACGAGTCGAAATTTTTGTTTTATTATTGATAGAATATTTTTAGAAGATATGAATATAATTGGTATTTCCTTTTTTATATAATTCATTGTTACTATTAAACCTAATCACGAACGATGATATATTTCATTTTTATTTTACGAAAATTCATACTAAATATTTAAAATACGATACAAATACTTTGCAAACATGCAAGCCATAATATTACAAAAAAAAAACTTTTTCATTAAACTCACATAAGTAGATTATAGAAGGCTGAGGAGTTTATAATTATTATTTATAAACTTTGTAAAAAAAAACCGGTCAGTTATTACAATACTTCTAATAAAAAAACTTTTAAAATACTGATAAATAAAAATATGAATGAACGTAACTTGCACAACTCTAAACTTTCAAAAAAATTATATTTTCTTTAATATTTGTAAGCTGATCTCAAGAAGTAATTGTTTACCATTCCCCTCCTCAAAAAATAATTTCTCGTAAACAATGATAAATAGTATAACAATAATACGCTATTGTAAGTCTTTGAACTTCAAAATTAGGGTCCCGCAAATTCGGATCGGATCGGATCGGATTTTATCTATATTCGGATCTGACCCGATATTCTGATTCTTAATCCTGATTCGGATTTGTCATGTACGGATCCAACTTTTAAAATCTGAATACTATTTTCATTGTCTTCGGATATATTCAAATATTTTTAAATTTTTTATGGATTTGAATTATTTGAATTAAAAAAATTTTTATCTCCCTTTTCTCCATCCCCTAGGATCCGTCGGATCTATTTTTTTTTGAATTTGATTC